AAGAATTTGATAATTACTAATTAATTAAATAATTAATTACTAATTATCACAGATATAGCTTTCTTTACCTTTTGGTGTCCAGTGTGGTAAACCTTAACTTGGTTTCCAGGCCTMCCAGATGTAGCAAACAATGACTTATGGCTATTAGACCACCTACAATGTGACAAGTGATGTGATGTGAGGCTAAATTCTCAATATATTTCTGTTAATTCTGAAGGAGAATTTAATGATTGACTATAACGAAGAAAGCATGACTTTACCTGAAACTACAAACGCCATCTGGGTGAGCCTGGCGACTAACTTCTGGTAGACTGTAAAAAATATTAATGTAATTAGTCTTAAGGACAGTTTGATACTTAGTCCTCCTCCATAAGCATAGCTCTCACACTAAAAGACACCTGAGGAGGAATTCTCATTTGTAATCTCAACTGAATGAAAAGAAATAGAAAAACACTGCAACAACCCATCACTGTGGACGCAATCTAATGAAAGCACTACAAAACATAGATTTATTAGCAGACCTAGACTTTGACATGTCCCAAATGTACCAGTCATCAAGAGCAACAGCACCGATCTTCAAAGAATCAGTTGGACACCAATGAGCATCAATTAGTGGAACACGCCCTACACTTAACGACATTATAGCCTGCTGATTGACAAGGTCRTAGAATCTGATTGTTCCATTTTTCTCAGCCACCATTAACTAAAAACAGAAAAGAATAAAATCAAATTATAATTCTGATGTTCCATACTTCAGCTACCTGCGTTCCTTGTAAACATTTTGTGAAAGGAAAAGAATATTATACAAGTACTTAAACACAGGGATCCCAACTAAATTTCATAATAAAGTAAACTTAGGTACCTTATCAGGTTCCTGAGGGTGCCATTGTACAGCCATTCCTGGTGATCCTAGTGGAATACATGTTTTTTGTACCCCAGTCTCAATGTCCCACACACGGCATGTGAGGTCATCTACAAACAAATTTGAAAATGGAAAAAGAAATGCAGGCTAAGTAATTTAAAACTTTCTTGTGTTTTCAAAGATGAGATGTATACATGATTGTCATAATGGCATAAAAAAGGCTTGAGGGCGGGGAGGGTCTGGTGAAGATGCGCAAAACGAGTCCATAAAGGACTCATATTGATAAATATTATGTAAATATGTGCTGTGTATTTACACCTAATTACACAAACGTTGTCCAAGAAAAAAGAACTTTTACTATTTAGGAATTAATTAAAATACAAAAGAAAGTGTTCGGCTTCAGTGGTCATGCTTTGTCTTTTAATGTATTCTTATTTTCCTAAATCCTTAAATCTCAGGACAATGTTTTCGTAATTAGGTGTAAATTATTTTCAAGAGAAAATTACAAACTTTCACATATTATAGCTTCTGTGGGACACCAAATCTGTCAAATCTATGTCACACTCACTCACTGTCCAATATTCTTCTTCTCTTGTTTCTCCTTACAACCCCAGGCCCAACACTTTATAATACATGTTTGCCCCAAGTGTTATAGGACATAAATGTTCAGCTATACACAGTTGTACTTACCACTGACACTAGCAACMAGTTCTCCTGCTGTTGGTTCATATGTACAAGCATTGATGTATCCYGTATGACCATTAAGTGTTTTGACTGATGTATTCTCTTCTTTTCCAAGAGTAGCATAGTGTCTTAATTTCTTGTCACCACCAGCAGTACAGAACCTAAAACATTAACTTAATATCAAATGCTATATAGCAGCATAAATCATTACGTTTTATAAGAGTTTTTACCAGCTACTATAGACCTAAACATGCAATATAGAGCGGATTTTGTATGAGTAGGAAATGGACGGTACTGTACTGTGACCGTAACCGTACTGTAAACAAATTCTAGTGCCCCATTGGTTCACCAAAGTTGTGCAGGCCAGGTCTGGTAACTGTGCGGTAACCGTGCAGTAACGGTGTCCCACTCATACGAAATCCGCTCTGACTAGTAGTCTAACTTATACTGTTCACCCTTGTTCCATGATCTGGAAACTGTTCAAACCACCTCCCTACCCACCCATCCCAGAATAGATACTTACTGGATGAAAGCAGGGACATTTATGTACTGATGTCCTGGGAGACCACATAATATTCTGCACCATTATTCCATGATAGAAATTGTACAAACCTCCACACTACCCTCCCCTCCCTGAATAGATACTTACTGAATAGAAGCAGGGACACTATGTAGTGATGTCCTGGGAGACCATGCAATATTCTGCACCCTTGTGCCATGGTGGAAATCAGCGACATGGTCAAACTGGAAGCTTTGATCATTCCCAGCATCATCACCAAATAGACAAAGCCCTACTGATACTCTACTATGGCCACCATATGCAATGAGATTGGAAGAATTTTCAAATGGGCTGAATTCTACTGTGTTGACGATTTCTTGACAGTCAAACGTAAACGTGCTTGAAGTGGATGTGTTATTACTCGGAAGTCCAGGCATATTTTCTTGATTGACAATAAAATGAACAATACAGTCCCTAAAAACCTGAAAAAATCTTAAGCTATGGTGTATTCTATTTTATTATATATGTGTTGAAATTTACATATGTAAATTTAAAATCGATATAATGAATTAATATCAAAGGCCTTGCTAAAGACTATTATATATAAGTATAGATAAAACCTACAGCTCTTTTACCTTTATCTATAAATGTAATCTAATAGTATTTTCGAAAAAAATTGACATGAATCATTCCAAAAAAAGTAAGGTATCTGGTCCTGACATTAGAGTTTATAATTTAGATTATTTATGTCGTTTATCGTAACAATTCATAGCTTTAACTATATAGATTTGTTATATATTATTGTAAAATACCTTTAAAAAAATATGAGTGACTTACTTTTGTAGAAAATGGCTTAAATTTAGAAAAAGTGATCACACATGTTCGACATATTYGAATCTAGMCGCCATTACTGGCTCCCAGTCCCTTGACTGTGAGTCGTTGTGGCTTGCCACAGGAAAACCAAATAYATTTTTCAAATAAAATTTATTCATTTTGTCATATCTATTTATTTGTAAATTTATTCATTCACTCACTCATTCCTTAAAAATAGAAGAAGAGAAAAGAATTAAAATGGAGAAAAATGTCTGGACGAAATTTATCGATAATTGTTGCCCTTGGCTTGACTTCTTGGCACTACCTCACTTGGAAGTCCGTACAAGCGCTCTCAACGCGTCTATTTTTTTAAATCAACGAATGCGTTCTAAGCATGACCTCACTTGGTATATATCTCTCAAGTCAGAACGAGTTGTTGTACAATGCATGACGTGTTATGAAAAATTATTGGACGACCTAGTAAAGATATGGAAAATTGAATGACAAGACCTAACCAATCATAAATCGTCTTTACCTTAGTAAATTGTGAATTATCATATAATTGCATTAACTATCTCTATCATAATCATTTTATTCCAAATCTCATTAGCATAGCATTGTTTTATTATTATTATCGCTATACTAATTAAGATGTCTCTTTTATTGATTCAGCATTTGGCTACTAAACAAATGTATTTGAACAGTTTCAGTGACGAATCTGTCTGATAAAGAACCTGGCGGATCTCTGTTTATTCATCTGATATGCTGTTATATTTCATAACTGTTTAATTGAAAAGCTACTCTATTTTCTGAGTAAAAGCTGAGAAAATACTACGAGTATTTAATTTTGAATATTACTGAGTTGCATGACAGTGGCTCATTAACTTTGATGAATTGAATTTAGTTTATTCCTAGCCGGGATTTGAAATCGATCGTTCAGTTCATGTTTGGTAAGAAAATTTGCATCATTTTCCTTTCCTTTTTCAGTTTTTCCTTTCTCCTCCCTCATTTCCAAATCATCCTGATTTTTAAATAAACTTTACATCCCTTTTTCCTTCCCTCCTTTTGTATTTCTTCTATTTCCTTTTCCTTTTTCTTTGTCAACTTCCAGTACTTACTGTAATCTTCACTACACAAGGCATAGAMTTTTTTTTCTTGACAGCTTTTCTACCTCAACTTTTCTCTTGTTTCTATCAAGTGCGACTAGTTCATCGTTTTTTTCAAAGACTCAAATCTTAAAAGAAACTTTAGAGGGCTTATCGGGCTGTCTCTCTTCCGTGTCATCAGATATCCCAATGAGTTCCTTTGTAAGGTTTTCCATTTCGTAACTCGAGGCAATACAAAAGAGGGACTAGAGTGTGCATTCTTTAATCAACCCATGACACTATGACATAAAAACAATGTCTGACAAGAAAGTAAAAACATAGAAGGATTTGGTGAAAAGAGAAGAGGGATATGTTGGGTTGTAAATTGGCAGCTCGAGTTAATACATTTGCATGATAATTGCATAATATTTGAGGAAATGGTATAAATTTATTTTATTTCATTTTATGCAATCTTTTTGAATTCTAATTTAATTTAAGTTTATTCTGTTGAATGTAAACTTTAAYAATTTTATGAATATGTGCAAAATACTATGATACAATCAAAATAAAAAGCATTTATTGCGTAATGCATGTTAGACCGAATTCTTATTAAAACTATAATTTAGATTTTTTTCTCTTTAAATCTTATCTTTTTTGACATCAAAAACCTTCCACTTTCGGCTCCACACGCAAAGCAAATAAACTAAAAAAACCAGCAGTTTTAGTTTAATAAAATGGTGATTTATATTTAAATCATTTTCCATTATGTTCTYATTTCAACTTATCTTTCAATTAATTCTATCTTGTCTTTTATATATCGAAAATATTTCTCTTCCACCACACGCACAACGCGAATAAACTAGAAAACCCAGTAAAATACCACTGCAACATTTTTAATCTAATAAAATGGCTAAATATTAGYCGTCTGTGGCTCAAATAGACGGACACTTTAGTGGTTTCCCTTACTGACACTTGAATGGATTTTTATCTCATTAGTATTCAAGATATTTCTGACGTTTCGACTTCCACGTGAATCCATTCAGTACATAGCAACCAAAGGTTTCTTAGGCTATTGTTTCACTACTGTAGTACCTTGTGTTTAAGTAACTAAGAGAAACGCTAGTTTTATCAAAGTCTTAAATTCACTGTCGTAGCTAAGGTGTGTTGTTAGGCTTTAAAAACACAATCATCGCATTYATATTTCATAATGGGACCGTGGAATTGTGGTATATCGAGTGAAACGTTATACGCTTTTTGACATTTTGTTGTCAAAGACGGACATATCAAGATTATCAAGCTAATCGGTACACAAAAAAGGTTGACTGGAAGAGCTTAAGTGTACTTCTCAACTCATGTTTTAACGGGATTTTTCACGAAAACAATAACAAACACAGTTTTTGYATTTCAAAAATGAGAGCAGACACTGAGCACTGTGTGGTCATCGCTCGTTCTCGATTTTAATACCTTTTTGTAATGAGACCATAAACTGAGATAACTTGTTTTTTATAAGATTTTAATGAAAACATATAGATTTTTTCAATGACAATTTGTGTTTTACATGCAATTGTGTTTGAATTCATCTGAGCAGGTTTTTTGTCTTTTTGACTATAAAACTCAGTCCTCAAGGTCCCGCGTTTTGACTGATCAAAGCATTCTTGGATTAAATTCTTGCAATTTCCTTGAATCTGTCAGAATATAAACTAGTTTARACCAACCCTGAGGACTTTCATGAGTTTAGTTTTAGAAATTGTGAATTTTCAAATGTTTTTCTTTTAAAAGAGAATATATTTGGAGAAAGTTCTTTGACTTGTGGCCCGACTGGTGGTTCTAGTCATTGTGTATAACATTTCAATGTTCCTATGAGAACGACCTGGTGGAAGCTTCACAAAAGACTTTCAAAGCAACGAAGTTCACATGGAAAAAGATAAACATACTCCCAATACGGTTAGAATTGTCGAAAAATAAACAAAATGTCTACAKTGAATATCGTTTCAACTCGAGTCAATACTTTATATTTTGTGAATAAAAAACTGCATTTATGAATAAATATAGATTTTCTTAGATAAGAACTCAAAAGGGGTTTTGTTAGTTGGAYWGCAAGGGCCGGTCGTGTTCACACGGTTGAGYTTAGCTCAATTCCCATGTATCAGTTCTTGGTCCAACCACGTAACACTTTGTGATAAACAACKCCAATCTTCCTTGCGAGGGCATACTTAATTCATTTTTTCCCCTGTTAATGGACTAGTGAATAAACACCAATCAAGTAGTTCTGCCTAAATTATTCGTGATAACTCGCTGTTTCTTTGAAAAACGCACGCAACCAAAAAAATAAWAATGGARAAATTCCCTCGCCTTTCGATCTCATWGYCCAAAACAKRAGAAGACTGATTTTGGCAGTTTGCTGAACATGAGTCTTAAAAGCGTCAAACGTCTTCAAATTATCAAACRCTATATGTTGTTGAGATTAAATGAAATATCGTAATTATAAAAATGTAGTTATATGATATATCTGTGCTATTTTCTCGTTTTCTTGGAGTAGAGAGATTGAGCTCTGATGTCTGCGCTCTGCTCCTACCATTGGATGAAATYCGGTGTCGCGATGGACACATCAAAGCGCCGTGGTAACCCATTTAGCATAATTCGATTCATTCTGACCGTTTTCTTCTTCGCCGTACAAACCAATTTTCTCATCATGTTCCTCAATAAGTCTTTGCAAATGTTTTATGTAAGAGACTGCGCACCGCAATGTTTCAACTTTCGACAATTTCTTCTTGTCCGGAAAATATGGAATGTGTTGTCTTAGTGAAGAAAAWCCATCGTTTACAAGTCGGACACGATTTCTTTCGCGCTCATTTCTCCTCGCAACAGCGTTTGGYTCGCTCTGAAATAATACKGTACTGCCTCCTGTATTSCGTTTCTTTGGCTGTGCACTATTTGGTTTYTCCTTTGAAATTTCGCTTGATAAATTATCCACAGCCTTAGTCGAGCGTTTTCGACCATTCAATTGTACATTGACCACAACTACCTTTTGGGGAATTTTCTCTTTTTCACTGTCAGGTTCATCAACAGAGTCAGGAGCTTTTTTCTTTTCCTTTTTTTCGTCTGTAGAAGTCATCCTTAAGAAATGATACTTGAAGGAGTATTAGCGGTTTGGCGGAGTGAGTATCTTGTAGAGTTCTCGTTATGATGGTGTTTATATTTCATTCAGCGCGCGAGTGACTAAATTATCTGCTCACTTTCTTTTACGCTATTCTACATGTATTATTCATGGGCCTTTGTTGTGCTAATATTCACTTTTAAGCAAAGAAAAGTCCGGAAATTATAGCCGAAAGCCACTCATTGGAATGGATAAGAGGGGAAAAACTGGCTTCGACTTCAAATAGATCTTAAAATTGCCGATAAAAAGTTGACAGCCCTTAAATCCAGCCAATAAMATTTTACTCTTCGGGTCAATTCAAATTGTTATTCAACAACACACTAAATATTGTATTTTTCATGGTGGCTTTATTAACTTTTAATGCAAGATATTTCTATATATAAAACAGTGTCAAATTTATGATTCCATGGGTGCGGAATTGAAATTCTAACGACTTCCGAGATGATGGAAGCGATTTACATGAGACTAAGATGAGTGAGAAAATGAAGTCTGAAGTTCAAGGCCCTTCGGGGTTGTAGGATGTTTTATAATGCAACTACCGAAGGAAAACTGTTTTATTTAGTTTAAAATCCATGTATTTCTACTYATTAATCAATTACCGTACACGGAAACCATTCTACGGGGCAGGTGTTGATGAAATCAGTGTGATTATTGAGTATTTTAGATTTTTTTATGTCAATCAAATCGGCTCAAAAATAAGTGATTTTTTTAAGAAGTCAATCATCAAAACTTTTCTAGAGTTAAACTTCTGTAGTCCTAAAGAACTTCTAGTACAAAACCGTKAACTAAAATATTGTAAACCGATTAAATTATTGGATAGGTTTTTCCCCAGAAAGGGGGAAGGAGAAAAGAAGAGGAAGAAAACGATGAGGGGGCTGGAGATGAGAAGAAGAAGAAGAAGTCACTGAGTGGCGATGTCGTTGTCACGACGAAAAATTCTCAAGATTATAAAAAAAAGCCGCAATTGCGTCAATGCGCTCCTTTCTACTATTGAACTTGAGAAGTTTCAAATAAGTGCCATCACTTTTATACGGAAAAATGTGGCAAATACACTCAAACAACGCTTTAGTCAATAGACTCAACCCTGACGTGTTTAAAACAAGAAAATTCTGGCTTGAAATCGTTATTGTTTTGTTGACGCTTCTCTTGTACACAAAGACAAAGGGAAAGATATCTCGAACTCGACAAAAGAATTGAAAGCGGAAAAGAGAGTCCAATGATGACTTTTTTAAAGACAAATGCACACAGTTGATGCTCGTTAGTTTATTGTTGATAAGTATCCTTTACAAACTGTGGTTGTCCTTTTTCTGCCACAAAAGCCGCACGCTAAAAGCTCCTAATGGCGCGTTTTTTATTAAATTTTCACCTCGCGAAAAGTTTTATTATTTCATATTATTTTTTGCTAAGCAAATGTACACATGCGTGTAGTATTTTTTTTTCTTAAGTCTATTAATTTGTGAAAAGTACATAGTTTTTGTACACTTGATCTACACCAAACCTGTTTCTTGTTCCTGTTTAAACTGGTTGAACTAGTTCTATACTAAAAAAAACTATCTGCCGCACTTAAGGTTCTCAAACTCTTTCTCTCAAATTTAAACACTTAAAACCATCTTGCAATTGAAGTAAAATATATCTACTTTATAAAAGAATTGTGCTCAAGATGCCGGGTGTTTCTTCTTTGCCGACSAGTTTTATTTCGATTGAGGAAGTCCTATAAATCAATCCCAGGAAAGAGCTTGCCTACTTGTGAATTAATTGAAACATTTGCTAATTTGCTGAAGTGAGTGGCTTTTATACAGTTCGAGCAAAAGACAGCATATGTGCGCACTAAAGAATCGAATAGGTTATATACAGACAGATTGTGTATTTTACTATAATATAATCAAACCGAGTATAGCGCGCGAGTTTATATTTACAAAGTGATCAGAGACTTGCGCGCGCGTTCAGTTTGAACAAGTTGACTAAAGACTTGCCTCTTTCTCTAGCGTTTTCTTTATATGACTTAATGCTTTATGTAAATATAAATAAAGCAAATTGTCTTTAAATAAAATGAAATGCTTTTTTTAATAAAATACTGTTCTTCTATAAAGCAGAAAAGTCTAAAATATATAAAAGCATATTACGTTATATTGAATCTGAAATGCAATTTTTATACATAAACCACTGATAATTTCTTGTGCGCTTTTCGTAAACTGGWTTAAAAATGCAAAAACTTAGTTTGTTTTGTCCTAGCCAAAACTGTGTAATRAAGTATAGATGAATGTTTTTTAGCWATTCACTGGAARTTTTTTYCMCGCCTTGTATATRTACTCTTTTCAATGCGCGCGCGTCTTTAGTTTGCGCTTTTGAAAATTTTCTTTTCAACCATATTTRCCACATAAAGTAGACTTATTTTTTAGGACAACTGTTTATAAAACACAAATTCTTATTAACTAAAAGCTTGTTTTGCGGACATCTTGCTAATKAAAACAGTTATTCTGTATAAACTCYGTTTATTTGGCAGAAAATAACGATCGACGCACGAATACACTTCAAAAGAATTGATTGAATATTCGCATAAACAAACTTCAGAAATTGAATTAAAATCACGTTTTGTTATCTCTTAGTCAGCGGGTTAGCGGTAACTTCCTAGTTATTCTCGAAAACTCATCTTGCTATTTACACAAGCTTCAGTGAATGACCAACAACTGATAGACATCAGAAAAAGCACCCAACCTAGATAGCCATCAAGCTCAACCAAATGACAATTACGACAGGCACTTTATCTATAAATTCACAGTTCTGTAGGCAGCGTCGAGTATTAATACGCGAGATTCCGGTTAAATGGGAAAAAATACCGTAAGATGCCGGAACCCATTAATTTTTTGCGTTTATTTTCCTTTGTTATGTTAAATGTATCTAAAGAGCAGTTCCTCGGGTCTGCTCAGCGTGGGAGCATCGTTTTGGTAAATGGAGAGTATCGCTTGGTAAATGAGCAAATTAAATATGTTGGATAAAGCATTCAAAAGCATCTTAGAGGAGGTAGAAATAAAGTGGACGAATGGTTTAGTTATGTGTAAAACCTTTTAGGAATTAGAAGTTTTCTTATAGTGGAAAAAAGGAACTTGTTTTGAAAATGTTTTTGAAAAAAATTTTCAATGTTCTTTTTTCTAGTATTTTTGTTCTCTTTTTTCTGAATTACACTTTTTTTCTCTTGAACATTATGTGATACACACGTTTTTAACTAAAATATGTGACTTATTGTTAAGCCCAAAACCATTGTCTACACAAAGCAGTATCAACGCCCGAGTTTACTCGGGTATCCTAAAGAAATTCCAACTATATAAAAAATAGGCAGTCGATGACTGCATGTTACTCAGGCCATTAAGAGATCTGGTAAACTTCGAGTTTGCTGCTTTACAAAATGGCAATTCTAAATTGAATTACTATCCTTGGAATTAAGTTCTTAACCACAACACGGAGCTGGCATAGCACTCTGAAACCATGCTTGTGATAGCTCCTTTTGAACGGTGATAGAAAGACCCACAATGCATTTCGCTCTTGGAATACACTATCTTTAATTAGCTATATACCCTGTGACCCCTGCAAAGAAATAAAAGCATCAAGTTGTGATCAAGCATTTCCTTGTCTAGTAGATACACACCAGGCGGCGATTCCCAGGGGCCAAGGAACCTTGGCACCTATTGTTATGGTTGATGATTCCTCCCGAAGGGGCTTGACACGGGGCGCCCTGTTTCCCTGCCTAATAAACAYATCCGTCTGAAAGATTCGGAAAAGGAATTGTTATCCAGGACATGGAKTACTTTGATTTAGCTTTGCTATAGATTCTCGAACGTTTTTTTCATTAAAATGTTTATGTTATTTAACCTGTATTTTTAAATCCATGTTACAATAACTCTTATTCGCCTCATTATAGTTTTGAAATAAAACCCAAAGATTGCTAAGTTTTTCTTCATTTCTTTATCAATTCCATACGGATTGTCATTCATATCCTCTTCAATTGTTAACATTCACTATATTTAGATTTAATAATTATTTGATAATCAATATTAATCGAATTGTTAACTTTTATATCATCAAGAACGAAAATGTGGAACGTTCGAGTGTAATTGTTGGAGTTTCAAAGGTCTTCAGTTGTGTGCCATTGCCATTGCGAATCCCGGCAAATCTTTGGCAACTGCAGCTATTATCTGCCTGTTTTGAGCCTGGTCTGTAAACCAATAACGTTAAGAATTTCAAGAGATTTTTGTTGTGCTGTTTACTTGAATACTATAGTAATGTCTGTCTGTGATGAGAACTGTACACATTTTCCTGTGCGATGAATTGGAAAACAATAACGACAATTGAACAGCTCGGTGAATAGCCGCCACTAGTACATCGAGTCATCGGTACTCGGGCGCAAACAAGCACTCAGCACTCAGCACCCATCCCTACCCCCCATCAAATAATAAATCCACTGAAGGATGATTATTCAAACCCTGCATCTTTTGCTAATTCCTGAGCTGAGCTCTGATTGGCTCGCTGCTCCCTAAGGATTTTGATGACGTCATATATTAGCATAGAACTTCACCGAATAGACTACCCCAATTAGATATTAGATATCTCTAAGTGTCTTCATAGTACGATGGTCTAAGAGGGTAGCTAAAGGTATGCTCTAGTGGGCGGCTACCCCCTCACTCCCTGGCCTTTTGGTTAAGACTAAGTTTTATGTTCTCACTCGGGATAGCGTGGAAGGGCCGAAATCTCTAACCGTAACGTAAGCCGATTCGCCGCCTCAGCTTCATAGAATGTCTCGGGGGAATCGTCCCATCTTTTTAGTTTTTTTTATTTTCATTATTTTTATGTATTCCGGGGGGTGCATCTTTTACTAAAKTGAAAGTCCTGAGTTCGAACCCTGCTGCTGGAATTTCTCTTTTTTGTTGTTGTTGAATTTTTTTTTCTTTTGCTTCCTGATTCTTTTCTTCTTTCTTTTTATTTTCTTCTTTTTTCTTTGCTATTTTTTTTCCTCTATAGATTTTCTCTGTTGAGCTTAAATATATCAAGGACTCGCAAGGAACGCCTGCTACAAGTGGATGGTTATGTTTCGATCACTGAACACCATGACATAGTGACGAGAGGCCCCATAAGGCCTTTCATCACAAAAAATGCAGGTTTTCATGGAATTTATTGTAGTGTTTCTTGGTCGCTAAATTGCCTGGCAATCATTGCAGTCAGCAGCCAATCGTAGGGTCTGATATTCACAGTACCTAATAGACCTAACTTTGTGAGTTCATGTGTTGCGGCTGAAACCTGTGTGAGCGCTCTTTGAGCGTCTAGTTTGGATTTTTCAAAGACACACTCTTTCATTCTTAGCTAATCAAAGTCAGTTATTCAACAAACGTCTCAACCTCTATCCGTCCATAAATGTTAACGCAGTAAAAGCATGGCCCACTTTCTCTATATTTTGTTTGACTKTGCTAATGCGCATACAAGATTTGATAATGGGTTTCCTGTGTCAATATATTTACTCAAAATTGGGTTTCCTGCGTAGTCCAATTTCAAAATGGCGGCACAAGATCAAACTACCTACGAATCTTTTATTTCTTCAAGTATTCCACAGCTAAAAGACAAAGTGCCATCGATATACTGGGAATCTTTGTATAAAAAGCTTAAAAGCGAAGTAAGTTGATCGATCTATTGCGTGCTAAATGTGGTAAAATATCTTTGATTGTACGTTCTGCACGTGTGTGTGGTACGTCATATGCAGAAATCTTAATTCATGCGTAAATCCCAAATATCAAAGACCATATTAACATATTTTAGGGTTGCTTGTGCAACTATAGAACTTAGAATCTTCAATATCAAAAAATTGATGCAGAAACATTGCTAACTTTGCTAAAAATTGCCATTTTTTTCATGACAGACTTACGATGCTGGTGAGAAATTTTCAATCATGCTTGATGAGGATGATGGRACACATCATGTGATAGTGACTGATGAAAATGGTGTGAAGGCATCAGATTCTGACAGGTAAAGCAACAATATAAACCCCCCTCCCGTCCCGTCCCCTTCCCCCTCGGGCCTCACCAGTTTAGTGCAGTTTAGTGCGGTGGTCAGGAGATTCACTTCTTTTCACTGCTTCGATAGCGGGGCAGTCACTTTGGTTAGCAGGATTTTTTTACTTCGGAACAGCGGTAATCAAAGTCCAGCATTTTGAATTGGGATTCCTGTGGTATTCTTGTTACCATATAAGGATTTGTGTCCCAAGGGACCAAAGGGCAGATTTCATTGGACAAGGGCAACAACAGAAATTACAGCACATAAATGTTTATTTGTTGTTTTTCAGCATTTTTTTAATTGACCATGCTTGGATGTATGAGCGTCAGTATGCGAGAACGCATCTTGACACAATACCTGGACTTGCAGAGAGAATGGCTGCTTTGATGGGCATACAAGGTAAGATACATTATCCATTGTTCCATCTCTTATTCTTAATTCACATTCTAACAGTGAGCTTAAGGACCACCCTCCCTTCAACAGTCATGAATTCCCAAAAAGTTGCTTAAGTGGTCACCTGGTTGTTTTTAAAGATTGCTGCTTAATAGATTTTCAATTGTACTTATTTGGTCTATTGAAACATTTTTAGTTGAGATTGATGAGGAAAACACAAAAGAACAGAGGAGGGATGAAATACTTGACAAAATGTGGTGGTAAGAAAATGAGTATTGTAATTAAGAGTACAATTTAGCCTCCAATGGCTACCATTCTCTTTTAATAAAGTTATTATTATTATTATTATTTAATATTATCTTCATTATTCTTCATTATCTTCTTATTATCTTCATTGTGATGATTATAAATATACTTATTTGTTACCATGACGATGCTGTGACCTTGTTGTGATGCATGTTATTGTACATTCATATRAAAACTTGCTCTATTAAGTTCTACTTCAATGGAGAATGATTAAATCATCGTAATCATCTTTTTATTATCTTCTAGTTTTAACCAAACTTACAGGATGGGGATGGTGGTGAGTATATTGATTTATTTGTAGACGATTCTCTGGAATATAAGAAATTGAAGGACCATATGGTCAATGTGCATCCCTAAGCTTTTGTTTAAACWGTCATGAATGGAGATATTGGATGGAAATAGTCACCTTAGATTTTCCATATGAAAAACCAAAATCCAAGTTAACTATGGTTCTTTGAATTACAATTTGTTATTTATAATA